ATGATTTAGCCCCCCCACTCTCTAATACGCTCCGCGGGCCCTGACATGAAGCTAATGTGCAGTTACTTCAAAGTTCAAATAATAGTGTTTTAAAAAAAAATGTAGGGGCTGCCAGTGTTTTTTACTTCTCGACTGAACCGTGTTTTCAAAATAAATAAAAAATTGGCTCCAACGATTTTTTTAAACTCACATATTCTATGCATTTATGATTGATGTACAGCGTGCAAAGTTTAATTTGTTTACATTTTAACTCTTAAATCGCTACAGTAATATTTATATTTCACTTGTAGCTTCGACTTTCCACAAGTCGAAGATTTTGAGCAATAGCTACTAATTAAACGTTAAAACGTAAAAGAATAATAAACAAAAGTTAAATAATGGTTAACAACATACGTACTTTTTCGTTTCAACTACGTACGATTTATATAAAGAATACTGGTATCGATTTTTTAAGATACGCACCCCAAAAACTATTTCGCCTGCCTGTGTCAAAAACCACGAATTTTCCACGCGCACGACGCGAGAATGACGTCTGACTAAATCAACTTCAAATTCTACTAAACCTGTAGGAAGCCACCTTAATTAAGGCCCATTATTTCCTCAGTTTGCAAGATATGATCACGAAATTCGCACACAACATTGCCTCAATAGACCTTATTCATAAATCGTGATCGAGGCCTCGTATCCTAGGATACGGGAAGAAAAAACGCTGCAAAATTGACAAAATGTTTTGTTGCTGTCGGTGATTAGCCTGCGTAGCGGCTATCAGAGAGCCGCTACGCAGGCTAAGGGTGGTAGCACATAACCACGTGATCAGTTTTGTTATGTTTGGTAACACGAAGCATATAGCATGCCGCCGTTTTAAGTGTGCAGAAAAGTGTGCAAAAAATCATTGAATCCATTGATATCAAATTTGTGTTGTAATACGAAAATTAATAGGAAGAGACGAAGTTCATTCCGTTCATTATTAGATGTTAGATGCAAGTTAGATGCAAAAATTTGTATAAACGAGGACAAAGTACTGAGCTGTATCGGGGATCATCAATGAACATGCATTTGTCTTCACCATATTAGCTAATATCATGGATCTTGACATGGATTTGGTGGAAAGATGAAAGCTTGACTATACACGACAAATTCGGTGAACATGGCAAGTGTTTGTGAATGCGAACAAGATCGTGTACTTTGATGCAATTCAGCTCTCCATTCAGTTGGGCAAAGCGGTGAATAGAAGGTGAATGTCATGACTCGGCAATACAAACGTTTATGTTATGTATATCATTTTTACTTGTACAGTGTGTATCAAAATAATTCGAATCCAAATTTGACAGACTGCTGTTTATAAAATACTAAAGTAAACCATATAATTTTTATATGGCAATAAAGAATAGCCTATTATAGGTTTCCGATTATATCGTTCTTATATCAATAAGATCAAAAATGACCAAGAAATCGTGTGTTAAAACTGGTTGCTCGAAATCAAATTTTTCCGCCAATGGGAATTCGAAGTGAGACGTACAAACAAAAGATAATGCAAATTTAATTAATCAACAAACTGTTATGTAGCAAAATTTACATAAATTCATGTTCATTTAAAGAGATTTAAGCTCCTATGCTTTCAACATGTTGAACGAGAAGAAATTCGCGTTAAATTTGCATTTTAGTTTTCAGTGATGATTAGCATTTCAAAGCCTTGTGGGACTAACTTTGAAAGAAAAAATGTCCAATTCCCATCGGCGGAAAATTGTTATTTTTATGAACTTTTTTTGTCAAAGCAATACTCCTTCATTTTCCGACTAAATGACGCGTACGGTATGTCATTTGAAAGATAAATAAATTAACTTAACAATGGTGTAAAAACCAACCGAATTTGTCAAATATATTTTGCGTTATTACATGCCAAATTTGGATTCGAATTATTTTGATACACACTGTATATCATTGAACAAAATTGTTCGAAAGCTCAACTCAACAACCAATGAGTAAGATGTGGATATGGTCCAGAAAACGCTTTTTCAGCTATTTAAGTCATGTCCGCGTTTTATCCAAAACGATAAAAGGCAGATATGGTTAAGAAAACTTTTTCAGCCCTTTTTAAGCAATGTCAGTGTTTCATCCAAAAGGATAAATCGCGGATATGGTCCATGCAGTAAACTTTTTCAGCCATTTTTATGTCATATCCACGTTTTATTTTTAAATATATAAAGAATATTGAATATTGTCCTAGAATAGTAGAATTTGAACAAATAAAAATCAACGACTCTTCGCTTAAATGCTCACTGCGAGATCTAAAATTACAATTTCGTGTTAATAATCATGGCAGGCGGAAATAAGCTGCTCGTTAATATTTCGGAACAGTTACCGCTGCGAAAACATCAGGTTTCACAAACAACTAGTGAATTTCTTGCCTGATTACAATTACACTCACACTCAACCTCAGCACTACCGAGAGTAAAATCTTTCTTTTTTGTACCGACTGCCTATGGGATGTGCCGTAAAAAATATAAAAAGCAAAATGCTTTTTTGGTACTTTGCATGAAGTACCCAAGGCCACTGGCCAAATGTTTTCTGGGCTATATCCGCTAGATAAAACGTGGTTATGACTTAAAAGGGCTGGAAAAGATGCACAAATAATATTGAAGTGGCGACAACAAACATATTCACGCAATTACTTCCCATATTAAGTAACCCGCTGACTCATTGATATGACACTGTTATTTAGTCAAGTTCTGTTCTGTCGCTCTAAAAAATGGTTTCAAATACATTTGGCAGCGTTCTTCTGGTAATACTTGCTTTGGACCTCAGCGCTTTTGCATTCAATTCGGTGCAAGGCAGTCATGAACATGATCATCATGGCACTGAATTTTATGTTTACTCGAACAGGAAAGGCTGTATGGCAGTCCAAAGTCAGCCACTTTGTCCATCGAGTCAATTAAACGAATGGGACGCCACGAATTATATTGAATATATCAGAGACATGCAAGGCATATTGGATGAGGTTGAAGCCAGCAACACGAACAATTCGGAGTGCATTACAGCTTTTAAAGCAGCTTATTGTTCAAAATTAACCCCGAAGTGTTTTGAGGAGGGCAGTAAAGATTTCGGAAATGGAAATTCGGCATGTTGGAAGGCGAATACAACGTGTGACAACGTAGTGGTACTTAATTTTGAAGAGTTTTGTCAGTCGATTCCTAAAGGTAAACAGTCCCTCGACGAATGTATTTTACCTTCCAGTCGTATTGAAGGAAGCTGCCCACAGCCTGAGTACCAGGTAAGAATCATTCAAAAGCACACAACTTGCTTAGTTTAGTCAAGTATTGGTTCTCGGTTACGAATCTCAGCGGTGCATGGATTGGAATAATTGTGACTCGATTAGCCATTATGTCGCAACCAAGGAAAACAACAAAGGGGTTGTGGTATTCACCGAATCCGTGTAAACTTATGATAATTATTATTACTCCGATCGATGTCCAAGCAGATTTTGACCCTCTCAAAATGGACCTCCCGGTGCCAACCTCTGCAAAATATCTGACCAAGCCTGACGGGTCAGAAAATTCGCGCGTGCAGGCGCGAAGTATAGGTCGCTTAGGCCCGGTTTAGACGGCGAACTTTTCATGCGCCGAATCTAATGCAAAGATTAAGTGCGACGCTGGAGCGGCGTCTAAATCAATTAAGTTCGGCAGATTTTGATTAAGTTCGACACGAGTCGAAGATGCGACAAGACAAGTTGTATATGCGACACAGGTTCGACATTGATTTAGACGCCGTGCTTTTCATGCGCCGAACCTAATGCATACTTAATTTTTTAACATTACAATATGATTATCATATATTTGCATTGTAAATATGTCCAATATAGTGTCCTCGCAATTTGGTACGGCACAATTAAGTTCGACGTCTAAATCAGTTTCCAATATTTTGCCGTATCTACGGCAATTAGATTCGGCGCATGAAAACTAAACCGGGCCTTACTAAAGGGTTGGGATAAAACGCGGAACCGGAATGCGAATTCCGGAAGCAGATTCCGGAAGCGGATTCCGCATTTGAGGATAAAACGCGGATTCCGCAAATGAGGATAAAATGTGGAATTGCATAAAAAAAGGACGAGAAGCAGAATAGCGTATAAAAAACTTACATTATTACTTTTTAAGGTCACAACCACTAAAACACGATTGGCCAAAGTTACGTAGTTACTCTAGGCCTAACTGTTGAAGTCTTACATGCATGCATTAGTGTTTTTTTTTGGGGGGGGGAGACTGTGACGTTTTTTGGACTATTTCTCAAAATTATGGATGGAGGTGGAAAATCGTATTTATCAAGAGCGTCTTAATTTTTATCTGAGTTTCTTTGTTTATACAATGCTAGTAATATTCGGGCTTTGATGGCGCATGCGTCAGAGCAAGCGCCTTTCATGCAACTCTGAGATCGTGGGTTCGATTCTTGTTACAAACTCATGTGAAAAAAATGTGTCAACACTGCGCCGATAGTCGTGGGTTTTCTCCGGGTACTCCAGTTTCCTCTCACAGGGCAGTTGGCAGGGTGGGTTAGTCTGAACATAATCATGGACTTAAAGCTTCTAAAGAACTAATCACATTTAATTAATTCATTAATAATCAACCTAATGATTGTTATCATATTTCTTCATATAAATACTGCTTTTGATGTATAACCTAGCTAGTTTATCCTGATGATGACTGAAATATACTCGAAACGTAGATTAATAAATATGTTATCGATTTTTGGAGTTTCACTTGTTTTGTATTTTTTATAGTTAGAAGAGTAATATCTCAATTCTTCTTATGAATAGTCTAGGCTAAGTAAATAACATAAGAAATCGTAATGCCTGTATGTAATGCGAAACATGCACAACACATTCAGAAATATGACACTTTTCCGCCGCCGAATAAAATTTCGCCATAAATCATCACAATTTCCATAGATTTGTATTAAAATGCCACGAAAAGAAAACGCGTACGAGTACAAATTAAAGAACTATTGTGCGCGTAATGCACAATACATGAAGAGAAAGACAAACTGAATTTATAAGTGACTGTTGCCGGCAGCGCAGGCGGTTAAACTACGGATATAAACTCGACTGATAGCGCATGTATTTATTTATTTACACAAAAATAAACATTTTAATTATTGAATTTTCCGCGAGCGAAAAATATACTGTTGCTATTCAGTAGGAAACATATGAAGACTGACTGCATTTCTTTATTTTTATAAAAAATTGTACTGAATATTGGAATTTTTTGTCCAAGACCACCATAAGCGCACTTATTTTGGTTACTTGTAATTCGTCTAAATGCAGTTAAAAATATTTCAAATCGTCATCACTAAGTTTCAATTTACAAACACTTTTAAAAATTTCAAAGCTGATTGTGTGGTCGTTAGGGATGGGCCGCAAATTACACGACGTTCGCTAAATACTGCCGAGTCAGTCGAAACTATTTTTAAGTTCCTCACAATCGGTTACCAATAGACGTATCGTTAAATATTTCTAATGTGGATATTGCTAAATGTGGACATTGCTAATATTTTTAATAACGGCCAATGCACGAACTCATTGTTGCTGCTTACTAAATGATGAGAAATTGAAAGTAAAAATCGAAACGATTTTTGGTAATTATAAAAATGCATCTATATAGCATCACCTTTGAAACTGGATTCTATTTATCAGTCACGGATGTTGAAAAGCAACATCTGTGAGTCTTTGTGGTCACTTGTGTGTGGGACAGTTTGCGCGTACTGTTTGCCTGTGAATCGGGCCTTTCAAAACCGGAAGTCAGGCTGGAACACGTGATTGTTGTTTTAATTTGGCAAAAGATTGAAAAGAAGCACGAGAGATGGCAAAATTCGCACGGTGCCTGTGTGCAAAAACAACTGCAAACTGCTCTAATTCTTTCTGTCACTTTTATTTTTTGATCTCATCCGTGAATCGGCCTCAAGGAAATTTGATATATCACTAAGAGCGCTTTTCGATTGACTTTTTCCATTCGTAGATTTTAGATTCAAGCTTTATTATCGCTGAACGCTAGCGTCCACAACCAGTGTTATAGTGTCAATTCAGTTAATCAATTGTAGAATTTGAACATTTATGTATATTAAATATTATCCAACAAAATGACTTTATAAATGCACGTGTTCTCTGTTGAGTAATGCGAAATTTATGAGCCAAAGTCATTCATGCGCTTCGTTTGCGCATGGGCAGTTCTACAATAGTCAGATATTTCGCAAGTCAGAAATTTCGCGTTACACATGTCCAAATCCGCTAGCGAATATGGACTGGAGAATTTATATCCGCTAGCCAATATGGGCCTATGGGAGTCTTTATTTGTTAGCAGGTTTGAACTCCACTCGCGAATTTGGACCCCTCGCGTATTTTATCATTGTATCGTATTATATTTTTAATATTGTATCAATATATTATATATTTAATATCGTTAAATTTTTGGGCAATGCTGGTTATTTTGACCTCGAGAATATATATATTATCTATACGATTTCATCATAGATAGTCCGTGACCGGACATTTGGCCGACAGACATTTTAGACCGACAGACGTTTGACCGACAGGACCTTTCACCGGCAGACATTTAGCCGACAGGACATTTGGCCGACAAGACATTTAGCCGACAAGACATTTGGCCGACAAGACATTAGGCCGACAGGACAATTCACCGACAAGATTTTTTATTTCAAGTTTATTTTCCAAAATAATGCTCACGGGTAATGATGACTCATTAGATGACTCATACAAATTAATCAGACTATTAGTCAAATGAACTCGTCGGCCTGGTGTCCTGTCGGCCAAATGTTCTGTCGGCTAAATGTCTTGTCGGCCAAATGTCCTGTCTTCTAAATGTCTGTCGGTGAAAGGTCCTGTCGGTCAAACGTCTGTCGGTCTAGTGTCTGTCGGCCAAATTGGTCTGTTGGCCAAACATCCGCGCACCTAGATAGTCCACAACTACTCGTAGAATTAATTCCCATGTAGGATATGTAGCGTAGGGATCCGAAACCGCTATCAAGGCATTTTTTAACTATATAACTACTGGGGAATTTACTCCAGTAGGCTCTTTGCTTGCCCCAGTAGTGACTGGAAGCAACATTTTCAGATGAGCTGGGCCCTTTTGATCATTAATAAAAAGTCAACCTTGTTGAAAAAGCTGCATCTGCCTGCCTTCTCATATCTTCTCACATTCCATCTTTAAAAATCAGCACAGCATGGTCTTTAGGGATAGACCATTAGATTTTTGAGGAGGGTGGGAGAGATGTGCAGGATATTTTTTTTCTTCGAATAATATATGAGTTGGGAAGTTGGTCGGAGGATTTTACCTGAAATTTGAACTTCAGTGTGAGAACTTTAACACTCCCCTCCCCTCCCAGACACACCCCGGTCGCAACGTCCCTGCTTCTATGTTACAAGGTGCTCACAAAATCAATGCCTATAAATACCAATCTCAATAACCACAAACCTATATGTTCATGGGCGTAACATCAGTGGTTTAATTATCCCTTCCCTACACGGTAAATTTCAGGGAGCTAATTTAACTCCAGTGGTACCGGTATTATTCTGAACCTAATTTTACTCCACATTTGGAAATAATTGAGATACAGTATAACTCCACCGGAGTTAAATTAACTCCTCGAAATTAACCGTGTAGCTTTGCTTTTCGCCGGTGTATAAAATAGCCGTGCGGGATTAGTACCCTTGCCGTGGGCTTATGATCTGGTTCTGCTTTATAATTCTGTTTTTAAAGAGATGTGCTTTGTGTTGATTAAAAGGGTGTTGTTATAAAATGGTTGCTGTTTTAATAAATAATTCCACTTCTTGTCCAAGAAAGTATAAAATAAAGTAGCAACAAATTCTTGCCAACAATTTTCACTATATATTATCTGTAGAATATAAACATGAAGATAGTATAAAGGTGTGATATGACTTGTTTTCGTGTTTTTGATTAATTTAAACAGGTATCCCTATATTTTATATGAAGTCTTGTTAGTTCATTTCAGATTTTATATAAAATCCTACAATCGTCGTATGAAAAACATCTAAAATATCACGTATAGTTCTAAAACCATAGCGCTTTTGCACGATTTTTTTCTGTAGTTTTCTTGTGCAAGATATGTTTTTCCTTGGTTAAAGTTCTGCTCGAATTTTTTTTTGGTATTTGCCCAACCTCCCCCTCAAAAATCTAATGGTCCATCCCTTACTGATGGTGATTGCTTGATAGTATACTTCAAAATAAGGTTTTCGTTTTTCATATATAACGTAGAAAAAACTATCCTAACGCAAAACTAAACCCTAATACCAACCCTAACCTGACCCTAACATATTTTAAAAATTGATATAAAAATGGAAACCTTATTTTGAAGTATACTATTATATCTAGAGATTGCCTTTTACTGATGTACGCGTAACTGTGTGAGGAAAAGGCCCTCATTGAGACTTTGCCCCAGTAGTTGCAATTTCTTAACAAATCCGCTTTGACAACGGCTTAAAAATGGGAATTTTCTGTTTTCTTCGTTCCTTAGCGCACGAAAGTGACGTGTCCTGTGTTCAGGGTACAAATAACATGAGTCATTGTTGTCAGGGTACATGTGTGTAGGCCTACTAACTTATTTAGCTACATTTGTGGACATAACTTGTTAATAAAATTAATTTTAATTTACCTTACGAGTTTATTAAAATAGATCAAAATTTTAGCTACATACATGTTTGTTTACACAATAGCTTCACTTTCATTCGTCGAATCGTATCAAAATACATATTTCATTCACAATCATTGCACCGAAGATATAATAATAGAAACAAGAAATTTGCGTGCCAGAGTTTTTAGAATTTTGTCGATAAGTCTAGTTATTGGTTTAATAACGTGGATTTCGGTTACAAGTAGTAGCGTATCGCGCAAAAGAAACCAGTTGCTTTATATCAGGCGCTTAAGAGAAAACAATTTTCCTATTTTAACTTTTTAAAACTCTTTTTCGACCAGTCATGTCATAATTATCGTATGCCGCAGCTGATTAATGACACATTGTCGGGTCATGCATATGCATGATCATATCTTCGGTTCAGTAGCAGTGCACGCCATGGAGGCAAAGATACCACCATTCGATTCAGTGAAATAATATGCTATATCTCATAAATTCCTAACGATAGTTTTAGTCAATATCTCGTCAAGAGAGATCCGATGTTATCCAATTTCTCAATTTTCTCGATAAAATATAAAGTAGACATAGCTTTCGCTGAACGTATAGATTCGGCTCCTTCGGACGTTTCTTCTATACATAATAGTCGTGTTCGAATCGCTATCCAAAAGTGTTATTTTCGAGCTTGCACATGGCGAGAAATTTTTGGACATGAAGGGGGGGGAGGGGTGTATGTAACTCCGCTCAGTGCAATATCTGTATACTTGTATATAATTCCTTTATTTATTTCCAACATCCTCAGATGCCATCAGATTATCTTCGTCAATATGAAAGAATGTCTACATCTTTGAAAAAGCATCGATATTTTGAACACATAGAAACAGCACGCCATCTAAATAGCACGAATGCGTCCCTAAATGGAACTCTGGTCTTTTCAAGACGTTGTGTATCTATTCTGAAAGACATAGATTGCGCGCCTGTCTACTGTTCAGCGGATAAAGAACGAATATTGATTAAATATAGCTGGGAAACATGCAAAAGAGCTGTGGATAGCTGGTGAGTTAGCTAAAGTAGTGAATTCATTCGAAATATAAAGTAGTGAATTCATTTTGTTTATACAGGATGGATCGATATTTACGTATGCGAAAACGATATTTGATTTTCCATTTTTCCGCCTTTTGTTCTGAGTTAAGTGAGCCAATTTCGGCCTTGACGCGAATAGACCTTTCCGATATACGTCACAGCTACATTGTTTTCAACTTAAGACCCTCTTAAATGGAATGGATTTCAAGTTTTTTTCTAACCGGCTATGCGCAAAGAAGCAGAGCATACTTCTTCAACACTTGCATGAAAAAGATTTTTGAGCAATAAATGTGAGACTAAGCGATTGCACGAAAACGAGGCTAACGGGCCATGGCCCCTTTGGGCCCCTAAACCTCGGATGTTCGGCTTCTTTGCACATAGTCAGTGAGGAAAAAAACTTGAACTCCATTCCATTTAAGCGTGATTTAAGGCGGTCCTAAGTTGAAAACAATCTATTTATGACGTAATTACCGGAAAGTTCTATTCGAAATACATAGATTAAGTGAATTGAGTTTATTACCCCATTACTTGTACCATCAGAGTGTAGGTTTATCAAGTTTTGGTTAGTTTTTAAGTTTGATACTTGCCTTCACTCCTATGTTTATTTTAGCTCGAAATCCAGAGAGGTCCGTATATTGGTTAAATTTCTGATTATTTTATCTCATTTCCTAACATAGTCTGGTTCATGTAACCAGGAAGTCCTCGTCAAACCAACCAGACGATAGCAGGTAAAAGGTTAAAATTATCAGGAAATTTAACCAGGAATACTAAGTTAACCCAAATCGGGCTATTTCTATATTGGTTAATCAGCAAAATTTTAACAAGAATGTCTTGCATGAGAGTGAATTATATATTGTGTGTAATGCGGATCTCCTGTAGTCTGCTGATTCTCTCTTTTATTTATATGGACTTAGAGTTAAAAATATCTTTTTGATTAAAACACATTCGAATCCCGCTGCAGTAAAAAAACTGTACTTTAAAACAGTGGGTTACGAACCTCCTGCCTGAAATTTGGGCGATTAAGTATCCAACATACAAGAACCACTTTAGGCTTTCAAATGGTGATGGCTTTCGGATAAAAAAACCTTCAGAATGCATTCAGGAACATAGTTGATTTACCAAATGCAAAAACATAATCTGTTGTTTGTTGGTACTCAGTGACTATACATTCTATCAAATTCAAAGGCTCTGAAACAGCAATTATTAATGTACTTCGGGAAACAGCTAAATCAGGAAGAATCGTATTTGCATGCATGACTATGGAAATAAGAACCAGCTAAGAACCAATTCAGCCTGACATTAAAAAATAGTGATTCTTTCATGCGCGTTGGTATTGTATCTCGACCTCGACTGCGTCGAATCTCGCTTCGCCCTAAAAGTCAATCCCTTTGAATCTCGTAAAACATTAATTTTATAATAATTCACTATATTGTCTTTCCGACTCCTGATATATCGAATACTTGGTTAGGTTGAACTTCGCTCACCAGGGGCGGCGGAACAGGGGGGGCTAGGGGGGCTAAAGCCCCCCCCCAGAAGTAAAAGTGGGGGGGCTTAGCCCCCCCAGAAAATTTGAATTTTTTAAAAAAATTTTGATAATTAGGGAAAAATTTAGGTTATTTTTTGAAAATTTAGGTATAAGGGGACAAATTTGCAATATTTTGTTTAAAAAAAGTGTATTTCCGAAAAATTTTTTTGATATAAGTCCGAAAAATTTTTTTTCGTCTTTTTTTTTATATATTGTACCCCTAAAGTGGTACACTGACCAAAATTTTTTTTGGCGACGGGGGGGAGGGGGGGGGAGGTCGCCGAAAAAATTTAGCCCCCCCCAGAACAAAATCTGTTTCGCCGCCGCTGTCGCTCACAACAGGAAATTAGTACATGCACGATAGTTCGTAACAAGAAATAATTCAGTTAAGTTTACTTACAAGTGGGGCAAATTTTCTACCTGTATACACCACGTATAAACTTCCAATTTAATGGCGTCCAATTTAAATTCCAAAAGTGTCAACAAAAGCATGGCCATTCATTCATTCATTCGAGATAAGTGAAACAAACAAGGAAATACGAAAATTGGGTAGACCAGACCAGTATACTTCAATCGTATAATTGCTCTAACATTTAAAGTTTATAAAGGAGTGTGAATGAAATTTAAAATATTTTGTTTGAACTGGAATGTATTGAACGTTTGGAGCAAAATCTATTACCAAACTTTAGGCGCAAAATATAAGATGAAACACCTTCCGAATATTAACATCTTGTAAACTCAAGATGTGATGATGAAACCTTCTAACATCTCCTTTGTTTGAATAGATTTAATACACAAAAAGTTAACTGTAGACTGTCTTTTGAACATGGCAAAGTGCACTTTTTAGATTTAGAGATTCTAGATTTTTTGCATTGATGCATGCATGTGCTTCGTAAGACCACGCGCACTGGTCAGTACACACATTTCGGTAATTTAAACAGTTGGAACGTTCACTTTTCTACGGCGCAGTAAATATCTGCATGTATAGCAATTCTTCCTTTCTAAAAAATCGAATTTTACAATTGATAACTCGGAATGGTTTTCGCGCAAATATTCGTTCGCGTACGATCCGCAAGCTTAAACAAAGGTTTTCCGTTTATGAGAACGAAACCTCCGGTATATGAAATGGCACCACTACATGTAAGTACACATTGTGAATGGCGACTTCCGATTGGCCTTTCCCAATATTAGTTTGACACATTAACAATAATAGGCATAGAAACGTAGTTGCATTTATGAATGTTTTGACACAAAATCGTGATACGTTTCATTCCGGCCAGATGAAGAAGAATAAAAATACTTTAACCTGTTTACCTCACATCCGGTCAGTTCTAAACTATAATTGAAAATTTGGCTGATAATTTGAATCGGTGACTTTCATATTTCCGTGCCAAATAAAAATCTTTAATGTTGAGAAACGATTAATAACCAACGACTGAGTGACACAGAAGCTAGAAATGCGCTAATGAATTAGTAAAGTACCAAATTCAACCGAATGTATACTGAATTCAAATTAAAACACTCATTGACCATATTTAGTTGTCTTTCATTTTTTCGATTTTCGCTATTTCTTTTGTAGCTTTAACAAGGTCATAGACAATCTAGAAGATGATGTTGAAGGGAAGAAATACTTTGTGGAGAAAAAACAGTCGTACATGAATGTGTGTAAGTACTACACCAACTCGACGAAGACTGAGTTCCTAACTGGTACCGCATCATATATTTGTAAACCACGGCACCAATATTTTGTTTCCTTGGTGTTTGTAGTATTTACAAACATGATTGTCTAATCTAGATGATATTTCACGGGAATCGTCATACCGCACAAACTGCTGAATTGATTTAAAATAAAATATTGATTATATATATAGCACTTCATCACAATGGTTTTTAAATAAAAACATGGAAATTCAGTCGATAGGCAATGTTTCTACAGCAAGCTGTGAAACAAAGTGTTTAAGACTATAATGCATAACAGGAGAGATGCCTTGTTTGTAGTATGGAATATGTTTTGTAGAAATTTTAAAAAATACACTGAATTAATCATTCCAAAAATTTGAACTCAAAATTGTTTTGATGACACCGCACACAAGGTTCGGATTTCATTAATTTTAATGGGCGGATAAAATCGCATCATTTCCTTCTGAAATTAATTTCGACCAAGGTAATCACCGTCGTCTTACAGAATACTTCAAAAATAACAGTTTTACAAAGTATAAATATAGTACCATGTATTCTCGATGAGAGAATATATATATATATATATATATATATATATATATATATATATATATATATATATATATATATATGTATATATATATATTCTCGACGAGAAGAAAGTTCTTGACTACTTTTGTCTACTATGGCTCTTCATACTGAAGCTTTATTTCCCCTTAATTACGACATCTTAACAGACAGATACAACATCGAGATATCGACAATACAATACTGGGTCGAGATTGCTCTGGAGAATTCTTGTTAGAATGTTAGTGTTTGTAATCCAAGTGAGTATATATACATTTTAAGACATGATCAGAAACGACTGCTAGAAATGTAGAACAAGGTTTTCTGGTAGGATTTGAAACTACGGCCTTGCGATTCCAGTGCAGCACCTCAAGAATACTGTGTGGCATCGCGAAGTTGCACGTGAATTACGACATCAGCGTAAAATCCTTATAATACAGTTTCATTCCATCATTACATTCTTTATCAACCAAGGAATAATTTAATGGCGCTGCCCAACATTCTAAAGAAACAAGACAAAATAATTATAGAGCATAAAAAAATCGAATGAATCAGCGAAGGTTGTATGCAACGTCTTTAGATCACATTCTTGATCGGTAAATTTTGAAACATCAATATAATTTTATTGCCGATGCACTAATTGCAACTGACGAGCGTTTTCCATATATACATGTAACATAGATAAAAAATACTAAGTGCGAATATTTTTGAAATTGCACATTGTATAATTACTAGAGTGCAATTACAAACACAAGGGCAGAACTTGGAAACGAGTCAGGAAAAACAACATGGCAGCAGATAGTAGCAATGTAAATTTTTATAGTTCTGACAATTTTTTTCATATACCATCAATGGAAAATCGTATGTTAATATAACAAATAGAGTCATGGGGCAGATAGACAAGGTTTTTTTCTCAGGATTTTCTCTTGCGTCTGTTGCTAACACATGTACCCAATACTGCGGATTCAGGTAAACCGTGAAATGCGAATAGTTGTCGCGTTCGTTGTAACGGTTGCACGATGACGTTTCTAGGCAGATTTTCAGACGTTTCTAGGGCGTGGCCTCAACGTTTTGTTAAAAAGTAAACACGTTTCAACATTTCTGTCATTCTATTTTAGTTGCTTTCGTCAACATGTCTTTTGTTCAAATAAAAATAGAATTTGATTTATACTGTTCGAACAAACGTATAACGTCAATCTTTTTAAACGAAGATATAATTTTCATGAAATATGATGATTTTTAAGCCAGGATTTTGAATGACGTTCCACATTTTCGCGATCAAAAGTGGAATTACAACGTTTAAATTTTGAAAATAAACGTTGAAGCCACGCCTTAGAAACGTCTGAAAATCTGCCTAGAAACGTCATCGTGCAACTGTTTAAAGTAACGCGACAACTATTCGCATTTCGCGGTCTACCTGAATCCGCAGTAAATGTAGTTGAGACGGGGGAAGTATTATTTGAAGTCAATTTGAAGTGCCTTCTGCATGATCATTGTAACTTTCGCAAATAAAAGAAACAATAAACTAACACCTTGTATAAAATGAACAACATCATAAACTAATATTAAAACTAGTTATTTTAATTATAATCATAATATTATTTACTTTAATTTTAACAACTCCATGTAAAAATGTAAATGTACATGTGATCAACGTTCATACATTCGCCAAACAATTCGTGATTCTTCTTTGTTTCAACTTTGTCAGTGTTTGCTTTGAGCCCTTTCGTTGGCGATTTCATGATAATTTCATGAAAACTAATGTCCACACGTCCGAATTTAACTCAAACAACTTCATTTTCACTGCACTGAAACGTTTGGCGAGAAAATTGAGTTTCACAGCTCAGTTCAAGACTTTAAGATCGAGTTTTTGCAGCCGTCTTATGGCTATAAAAAATACCTCGGAAAAAAACCCTGATAACTGAATCAGGCCAAGTTGATGATGATTGTCCCGAGAAGTTGGTGTAGACGCAATGAAAATATTCATTGAACATTTTTGCAATATCGCGAGGCGTGGTTGCATGTAATCTAGTCTCCACAATGTTGGAATTTGTCCTTGAGACTGACTTAGGGATAGTTCCAGTGTTCGAGATTGATTCGTAGTTGTTTTAAACACTGACCCCGTCTTAATTGTTGGCGACTTCAACATTCATGTCGACTGTGATGATAACACTGATGCTGTTTAATTACTTGAGCTTGAGCTAAATGTCGGACTTGATCAACACGTACACACTCCAACTCATTGTAGTGGTCATACCCTTGATTTTATTGTCACCCGACAAACTCATCAGATCATCGTTTCGTTTCCTAGAGCTGACTGTTTGTTTTCTGCTCACATGCCAATATTCTGTCAACTACAACTGGACAGATTTCCTCGAATTAACTCAAAAGTTTCGTATCGCAATGTCGCGGCCATAAATTTGGATGCCTTGCAGAAGTATTTGTCTCTATCTTCTGCGAAAACATGGAATCATTTGATCTAAATGAGCTTGCAAACTGTTACAATAAAACATTGAACTCAATCTTAGATCAGTATGCACCGTTGAAAACGAAGACTGTCACAAAATGACCTATCGTCCCTTGGTTCAATGATCAAGTTAAGGCTGCTAAGCGGCATCGGAGGAAATCAGAAAACACAAAAAAGACGGACAAATTTGAATAGTGACTTAGCTGATTATAAAGTGCAGAAAAACCAGACAACATTTTTCATGAATTGTGCTCGGAAAGCGTTCTATACTGATTTTATTCCTCAAAACAGTACTAATCAAAGGAAACTGCTTCAAGCCGCTAAAATTCTCTATACACAAAGCCTGACGTGCTGGCTAATGATGTTGGGAAATTTTTTGTCCAGAAGATTTAGGCCATCCATGTTGAGTTTGATTCTTCTGCGCTTGAAACAGACCACTCGTCTGTCCAAGAATTTACTGAGCTGATGTCCCGATTTGATTCCTTTGACATCTTAAATGAAGAAAATGTCAAAGATTTGATATCTACAGATCAAGTAAAAAATCTTGCTCTCTGGACCCAATGCCCACTTCATTGATTTTAAAATGTCAAGATATTCTCCTTCCTGTGATTACCAGGATGATCAATTTATTATTACACTTTGGTGTTTTTGTGGTGAATGGAAGCAAGCATTAGTCCAGCCACAGCTTAAAAAATCAAAAACAGAAACGGTATTTCAGAATCTTCGCCCTATCAGTGATCTCACATTACATCTAAATTAACAGAATGTGCCGTCTTTAATCAGACAAATGATTACTTGTATTTTTACCAATTTTATCCAAAGGCACAATCGGCCTATCGCAAGTATCATAGTACGGAGACGGCATTACTGCGTTTTAAGCATGATATATCAGTGAACATGAACCGTCAGCATGTTCAGTGGCGTAGCTAGCCCGATAATTTAGTCCCGCTATGCAAATTCAAAATTATTATCATTATTCATTTCTTTAGAAATTGATTGTTTTCACAGTCAATGAACATGGAAATATTTGCATAGCTGGACTAAATAGTCGGGCTGGCTACGCTACTGAGCATGGTACCTTACTCGTAATTTTGGATCTGAGCGTTGCATTTGGCACTGTCGACCATCATATAATGCTCGAACTACTAAAATCCAGTTTTGGAATCCAAGACCAAGTGCTAAAATGATTTACCTCCTATCTTTCTAACCGTTTGAAATTCATCTCCGTAAATGGTGGTATATCTAATTAACCGTTTTGAAATCAAAAATGGCGTACCTCAAGGATCGTGTCTTGGCCCACTTCTGTTTGTTTTATACGTGTCCAAATTATTCCAGATTTTGGAAGGTCACTTATACGATGCCCATTCCAACCAGATTCAATGTCTGAACAACTGTCTGCGATTATTGTCATGGAAAATTGTATTGATGATATTAAAACATGGATGCTAAATGTTAAACTCAAACTTAACGACGCTAAGACACGAAAACAGCTCGAAAAGTCAATTTTGATTCTTTTGTCACAGCGTCTAGTGAAGCTAAAGATCTAAGATTTTGGCTTGATTCCCACATGAAATAAATATATTAATAGTCAAAGGATTACCAAAAATTTTAAACCTTGAACGATAAGCAAGTGACCAACACTTTATATTTACAAATATTAGTATAGGTAACAGCATGGTTTTGAGTGCAATTTGGATATAACATGCACGAATAAGTTTTTCAAGGACCTCAAAATAGCACGAGTCCGAAGGACGAGTGTTATTTGAGGTCTTTGAAAAACTCACGAGTGCATGTTTATTAATAATTTACATAATAATTTACATAATGCTTTTCGATTTAAAAATAAAGATAAAAGCCATATATTTTCCATGCGAAGGATCAACTTTTACTTTATTTAGTGCGGCGCCATGATTGTTTTGTTTTGAAGAAATCTATAACCGTTACTTCTTTAAACTAAACTGCTTTAAACTGATTCGTTGATTTTGTCATCACAATGTTTTTCTACCAATCAGATCAGTTTGTTACAGATTTTTGCACTGTTGTTACAGATTTTTGCACTGTTATTACTGATTTTTGTATTGTTGTTACAAATTTTTGCACTGTTGTTACAGATTTTTGCATAACCAATCTCAGACGAGTGATATTTTTATGTATATTATTAATACTGTAATAGAGTGAACATATGATGCTGTAAACTCAAGTCATGCCGCGATGGCAGCTCATCTCCAGCGCTAAATTTTTTTTTATAGCGGAAGAAACTAAGTTAATCTCAAATAACCCACACTAATAAAGCATTTTAATACTAGTATTATTTCTGTATTTTGTTTACACGGCATGTTCTCTGAGATTTATTAACAGTTTTTTTTTGTCTAGCCAATCACATCACTTCATGTGACTGCTAATTAGAACTAACCAATCACGTGCTCTGGCAACCAGGTTATTAATTATCAGAATTCATTCCTATAAATCAGCTGGAGAGTGGACGGCCGTTAATGTTATGCGTTCTGGTTGGTTGGTAATTAGTAAATCCAGAATGTTCGACTCTCTAGTGGGAACCAAACAAAGTTGGGACATGAAGTAGTCATCTAATTCATCACAAATGTTCTGATTCAATGATCCCTATTGCGATATAGTTAGAATCTGTCCAAGAAATATTCGTGAGGCTAAAGTCACCGGCGGTAAGGATCTTGTCGTAGACAGGAAATACGTTATCAGCAAAGGAACGTAAATCAGATATATCATTACTATCGGGAGGTCTGTAACAACATACAACAAGCCATTCCGTTCATAGAAACAGACATAATTTGATTGCAATTGATGAAAGTATCTTGTTTAATTGCAATAAGTACGCCTCCCCCAGATCATCCCTGTGACCTGTCAGTTCTGTGTCATACCCAATTGGTAAGATTTCACTATCAGATATATTGCTGTTGAACCAAGTTTCAGTCACGAACATTACATCTATCTATTGTGAGTAAACCAGCTCTTGGAACTTGATCAAATTGGAAATATGACGATTCTTTTACGTAAGGAAGGTCTTTTTCAAACTCCTTGCATTCATGTATATGCAAAACAAGCTAGAATGTTTTTTGTTCAGGATTCTGTTTAGGCGAACCGACGTCAATGTTAGTCATTGATGGTGCTGGATTGGGATGAATGCCTCCACACATCAACAAATACGAAGACAAAACAGTAGGATTGAAAGTTGTTTGGCAGTTTGAGTATAATAGTGAATTCTACGAGTCAAATATTTACTTTCAATAAAAACAACAAAGCGTTTCCGATTGTTTATGACATAATGCCATGCAATCCCTCATAGTTCCGTAAAAGTCCTTTGGCAACGGTTCTTTGCCAGAATCATCGATTATTGGACCCACTTGAGTAGTGATACCCCCCACTCTGGCAACGGAAGTAATTAGTATGCAAGTCTAATTGGGCAACGGAAGTAATTAGTATGGAAAATTTATGACGTCACTCGGGTAAGTCTGGGCCAAAGGTGACATGTAGCGCGACCAATTAACGCGGGCAGGCCTGGGCCAAATGTGGCAGGCAACGCGACCAATTAACGCGGGCAGGTTTGAGCCAACTGTGGCAGGCGATCAATTAGCATCGCAATACAGTAACATCACTATAATCGACAAATTACGGTGATGGCTTCCTTTGGTAAAAAGATCAGCAATACGTTTGTCTTTACTAGATTGTGCCATGAGATCGTCCAGTACGATCAAATTCCGTTGCGATACATCCAAGTAGTCTGTGTTATCAATGTCTTTTGGAATGCCTTTATTAAAGTCGATTTCAGGAATTGCCCTCAACATATCAAAATAGGAGGGTTGCCATTGACCATAACACCAGATAATACGTTGAGGAGCAGGACTTATGGTCGTCTGAGCATTCTCCAAGAGAGATTTTACACATACAGTTTTGCCACTTTGTGTACACCCAGCTACGATGCACGTAAAAGGATGCTGCATAACACTGGACCTATTGCCAATTACACTTAACCTTCTTTCATCTGTACTGGTGCTATGCATCTGTTTTTTGTGACGTGAACGGTTACCAGGTGTTGAAAACGGTCTTCCACAGACTTCGCAGGCATAAGACATGTTTACAGGTTCACAATCAAATGTAAAATGAATTCGAAGTTTGTGTACCGTTACATAAATAGTATTATGTGGTCAAACCAACATAAATAATCCTATGATATTCCAAGAGACTGTATGATATCCTAAGATATTGATATCCTAAGATGTTGATATCCTAAGATACTGTATGATATCCTAAGATATTGATATCCTAAGATATTGATATCCTAAGATGTTGATATCCTAAGATACTGTATGATATCCTAAGATATCAATATCTTAGGATATCATACAGTATCTTAGGATATCAACATCTTAGGATATCAATATCTTAGGATATCATACAGTATCTTGGAATATCATAGGATTATTTATGTTGGTTTGACCACATAATACTATTTATGTAACGGTACACAAACTTCGAAATCATTTTACATTTGATTGTGAACCTGTAAACGTGTCTTATGCCTGTGAAGTCTGTGGAAGACCGTTTTCAACACCTGGTAACCGTTCACGTCACAAAAAAACAGATGCATAGCACCAGTACAGATGAAAGAAGGTTAAGTGTAATTGGCAATAGGTCCAGTGTTATGCAGCATCCTTTTACGTGCATCGTAGCTGGGTGTACACAAAGTGGCAAAACTGTATGGGTAAAATCTCTCTTGGAGAATGCTCAGATGACCATAAGTCCTGCTCCTCAACGTATTATCTGGTGTTATGGTCAATGGCAACCCTCCTATTTTGATATGTTGAGGGCGATTCCTGAAATCGAGTTTAATAAAGGCATTCCAAAAGACATTGATAACACAGACTACTTGGATGTATCGCAACGGAATTTGATCGTACTGGACGATCTCATGGCACAATCTAGTAAAGACAAACGTATTGCTGATCTTTTTACCAAAGGAAGCCATCACCGTAATTTGTCCATTATAGTGATGTTACTGTATTGTGATGCTAATTGATCGCCTGCCACAGTTGGCCCAGACCTGTCCGCGTTAATTGGCCGCGTTGCCTGCCACATTTGGCCCAGGCCTGCCCGCGTTAATTGGTCGCGCTACCTGTCACCTTTGGCCCAGGCTTACCCGAGTGACGTCATAAATTTTCCATACTAATTACTTCCGTTGCCCAATTAGACTTGCATACTAATTACTTCCGTTGCCAGAGTGGGGGTATCACTACTCACTTGCACAGATATGCACAGTCAACAGATAAACAAGAATGATGTTCAGAAAAAAACGAACGCAATCAGGAATTATATGTATTCATTTGAATGTTGATTATAAATTGAATTGCGCGTACTTTAAAGAGAGAATCAATTAAACCAAGTTCTAATGGATGTCCAATTTGTATTTGAAATTGTTCCACTGACGTACGTAGTTGTTGTCGCGTGCTCGTTCCAATTTAACGGTTCCAAATCCTCACTGCAAATTCGTTATTATTTCCACAAATAAACAAACGTTCAGCAATCAAATACACAAATTTCACTTCCACCAAGTAGGCCCACTGTTTATATACCTGCTTGCAATGAACGAGCAAACTCTAAATCTTGAGTAAAATTGAAAAAACAGCGATACGAAAATGCGGAGCAGTTAAGCTTGCGCATTTGGATACCTGCATATTCGTTCGTTCTCGTGTTACGGTGCAGGTTAATTAATAGAAAATAAGCCGTTTACATAACCAGTCGAAGAAACTAACTAGTAACTAATGACTTTGATGACGCTGAAGTGAAATTCAGGTTCAGGATATATAAGGTATAGCTCAGTAAGAATTGCGTTTATGATCTTATAACCTTATTTTTGAAACTTACATGATAAAAAACCAGGTCGATGTCACAGCCGTCGTACAACCACGGCAAGCAAATGTTTGTGGTGGACAATCTGAAGAAGAAAAATATATTCCACATAAAGATATAAACAAATAACAAGAAGAATATTTTTTGTGTGTGTTTTGGTGTTCTACTCATGCAGGTGGATATGTTTTGCAGTATATATCCACACTAGGATGGGTGAAATATATGCGTGGCCAAGGTGGCTTGGGGGACGCTTGGACAAGGGAGTGGACAATGAAATATTCGCAAAAGTATATCTCGCTCCCACAAATTACTGCCTTGCGAAATATGCAAACAAAATTCACATTTATTGTAATGTTGTCATCAAACATAAAATAAAATTGAAATACAGAAAGGTAGAAGCGCTAAAAGATGGAATACGAGACCAGGGCTTCAAATGTTAGATTGGGGTAACTTAATGGTCCTTCGGCCGGTTTTTCGAAAGCTGGTTAGCTTTATCCTGGCCTAGGTTAACAAAAGTTTCAAATCAATCTTCCCAACGGGCTGTTTGGAAACATGAAGATAGTTTTCTACAGTTCACGTCTGAACCAACAAAAGTTTTACCGGCTGCTGGTTAAATTTGCTGGTTAATTTGAGCACAATCCTGGCTAACTAGATCAATATCGTGGCTAATTTAACAAGGATTTCTAGTTAATTTGACCAGAGTATATGGTTGAATTAACCAGCGTTACCTGTTGGTCAGCAGACATTTTTGTGCAAACAAAATAAAGCTAAAAGTAACCTAAGAGATAGTTCTCGACATAGACTAACGACATAGTCCGCCATATAGACTACGATATAGTCCTCCACATAGACTACGACATTGTCCTCCACATAGATTACAACATAGTCCTCCACATAGACTACGACATAGTCCTCTACATAGACTACGACATAGTCCTCATAGTCCTCCACATCGACTACAACATAGTCCTCCACAAAGACTACAACATAGTCCTCCACATAGAATACGACATACAGGGTGTATCAAAATAAACGCAATTCATCTTTTGTGCTTAATAACTTTCGAAATACTATTTCTAGTTGAACGCTTTTAGGCTTACTTCAAAGCCTGTTCTTTTCTCTTTCAAACAAACTATTATCCTTGTCTCCAATGCTAGTAATAATTGCACAGGAAAAGATTTAGTAAAACCTATCATTTTTTTAATTATGCAAGTTTACTATGTTATTGTTTAGTCGATTTAAATGTTAGAATTTTCTTCTTTAAACTTTAATGTTGTCGTCACTACATCTGGAAAACCACGTAAGAACAAATTAAAAGTATTTTAAAAGAGACCATGTTGTTTGAAAATCCTAAACGAATGCTAAAAATCCTCAAAACATTCTGGTGTCTGAGCCAGAGTGTCATCGAATTGCGATGTAATGTAAACAGAAATTATAGCAAGTTGATGTCAGTCAGCTTAGATCGGGTCCAACCCAAAATTATATCGCATTTGAAGTTTCAAACTGAGTTAAAAATAGTGGAAGAAAAGCCGTAATTATACTTATTGTTACAATCCATTTAATAAAATGCAACATTTTTTTGTTTTAATGAAAAAATCAGTTATTTTCATGAGATCGATTTGTTATTCCATCTCAATTTTTTTAATCTCCAATCGCAATAACGTAAAGTATTATTACCCGCGAACCAATGAGTCAAATTTAAGAAACAACCCACTGTTAGAAAGCTGAATGGCTACGCTTTAAAATGAATGTAAACTTTAACGTTTTCGTCTATTATTTGTTTAGCAATTTACATTTCAGTCGAGGATTGCGCTTTTTTTTATACACCCTGTAGTCCTCCACATAGAGTACAACATAGTCCTCCACATAAACTACGACATAGTCCTCCACATAGACTACGACATAGTCCTCCATGTTTCTTATTAAAAAGTGTAACTCGACATTTGTTGACAGCCAATGGGTTAATTTTTCTAAAGTCAAAAGCGGAAAAAAAGATGTGACAGAAAAACGCTAAAAAGACGTTAAAAAGGACGTGAAAAAACGCGCGAAGATGAGATTATCTCAGACTAAAGTGTCGAAACGTTGAGTTGCGAATACAATTCGACTGGGCTTTGTATTCAATTCATTTATATAAACCAGAGTAGCGAGCGAAAACATTACCAATAACTTGTTTGTGACATCGATCGAACACTCGCCCAGCACCAGTTGACACTAGCATTCACAGTTGTCTAATTATTCTCATATTGAACTCGTTGTATAGATGGGTAAATAAATAAAGATTTCAAACTCAGTATCAATAATTGATGAGTAAATTAGCCAACCACATTGCTTTATTTTGCTCACATGATAATACTGCGAACAGAGGACAGTCACATGACTGTTATGAACTGTTCTGACTACCCCAACAGGTGGGCAATTTGTCTGAGCATGCGCGAAGAAAATCAATATGGCGACATATATTGGGAGTGTTTCGTGAATTTATCTGGTTTTAAAGCTGATAAAACAACATTTTAATGAACGAAAACTTTGTAATATTTAGTGGAAAACATTAAGCTATGCATTCCAAAGGTTTTATATTGAAAATAAGTACTTTTGCTTTATTTTATTGCTTTTTATGCTTTGAAAACAGGCAAGCTCATTTTTTTGCAAAAATCTAAACTAATATTTTACCCATCATTTGTTTAATCTGAACAGAAATAGATAGAACGCTTGGCTATATAAGTTACCAAGGTATTGTTAGCTGATCTGAAATATTTCAGTATTCCTGGTACACGTTTTAACAAAGAATTAAATGTAATTTCAAAAATTAAATATGCCTATGAAAAAACATAGTTTTTATTAGATTATTTTCTATTTTTACAAAAACAAGTTTGGAAACAGGATTTAGTCCTCCAGTTTGATATCACATTCCATTTATTTGGATATTTCAATAAAGGAATGTGAAATAATAATTTAATCTTGTGCAAAATTTGATACCAACACACATGTGAACAGATACTATCACCTAAAAATAAAGAAAACAGAACTTAAATTTATCATCTGATGCTATTGAAAAAAATCTTAGATACTACAGGCATATAGTGAGCACAATTATTTAACAAACTCACTAAAATAAGTTAAGTTATACTATGATAAGAGGATGGCAATATATAACAACACCAAATGTTGTCATATTCAGTGTCCAAAAAAAGTGCCGCGCGCATTTTTCGTGGTCACCTAACTGGTATTGGCACAAATCCAGGTGAAAAAAAATTAGAAAAACCTGGTTTTGGGTGATGAAACACTAACCCAAAACATATCAAAAACAGTGTACATTTACAAGGGCAATTTCAACCCTCTGGCACATTTTTCCCATGAATGATTTCAATTCCGCTAATAAAAAGACTATAGATAAAACTTTGATTTAAACCTAGTTTCAAGTGAAGAGCATACCCTATTTTTTAAGCTATACCTCAAACAAGATAGGCCATTTCAACATAAACATTGAAATATGGGTATACTGACAGCTCTGTCACACGTGTAGTTTGACATTAGCAGCCCTTCTGAAACATTTTAATGAAAGTATAATTCACAAAATTCACATTTTCACTTACTTCTTAACATCTGTTTTAATCCAACGAGCTCTATAGGCACGAGCGAAATTTAGTGTTGATGTAAATATCCATTTAGTTCATGTTTCCCCGGGGAAAATATAGTCTGTTCCAACGCTGATTTCGACGTACTTTGGCTTTTCAGAAACCGTTGGCCTTCCTCATTGAGATTATCAACTGTTTCACAAGCATATTTGATAGTAAACAGCTAAAATATTCTCCGAAAGTCTATATTTTTGCTCCTCGACGCGAAAATGGCAACTCAAGAAGAAATGAGCCGCAATTTTTGGTCAGCGTCGACAAATTGCCCACCTGTTGACTACCCCGATTTTAGACTAGAGGCAGCCAAAACAGAACACGTGACTCTGCCCATTTTCACGTGATTGGAAATGGACGCGACAGATTGTGTGTATCCAGGGCCCACTGCATAGAGTGTTATTTTGAAGTGTTAATCGCTATGTTCGACATATACTTATTATATGCTATTTAAACACCAGACTGTCACAAAAGCATACTTAGATATAAACTAATAACAGCAAATTATTATACGATTTATTATGCGAATAACTAACGAATATAGTAATGCATGGTTGCACGCATATATAATAATAAACTAAACACTGTTCCATAACACCGTGTGCACTCCATTTTATATCGCACGAGATGCCATTTCAAATCCAACAAATCGAACTGGACTAGATTTCAAGTGATATGATATGCATCATGGACTGCTCATTTGTCTGCATGATGATATATTAATATATCATAGAAAATTTGAAACTATGCTTGTGGGCTTGTCTATATAATTTTATTGTAAGCTAACCTGATGTATAGGGACAGCAAAGCCCTTTGAGAATCCCCTGAAATGCCTCGCTTGAATTTGTCGCCACAGCAGAAAAATGATCATCATACTTGGCTCTGAACGGATTAACATTCAAGAAAAATATCTTTTCATCTCCGACAAAAACTTCAGACCGACAAGTGGCCCCGTCTGCGAACCCGGCAACTACAATTTGAGTTTCGTTCAAATTCCCCTTGTAAACATGGTTAACTTTCAGTGTTGCGTTATACTCATGTTGGTATATCGTTCTGTTGTCTACAGCCACGACTTTTGCATGCAACACTAGCGGCGCCAGTCTGGTTAATTCCGCAATTGATTTCGACTCGTAGCCCTTAGGTATGCTACATGGCTCGCAAACTCCAGCAAACGTAAATATTGTAGCCAAAGTAACGATGAGTAACTTCATGACTGTTCGATGTTTATATTTGGAATGTTAGCAACGCTTATGAGGCTTATATGAGACATTGTATTAATTAATATCCGCCCCCAAAGTGAATATTAAAGAGCGGTTTTGTATTTTATTATAATATATGCATAGTTTTAGTTAGCGTCATTTAACGTTGCAGAAGGGCCACTCACGTTGGAAGCTTTGAAGTTTCTGTCCTCGCGCATGTCGCATTACGCATGTTGGCCGCCATTTTAATAGCCAGTCAATGACATTTTCTGGCCAATAAACACGCTGTACTGGCTGGCTGCTCCGCCTTCTGGCTAGTAAACAGAATATTTTTGCATGAAAAAACGAGGACACGTTGCACCGCTGAGTGGCACATCTGAAACTGATCTTTAAGGCCCTGTTACACGGTGCAATTTTCCATGCAACTTGTCTCGCAATAGCGTTGCGAGACAAGTTGCACGAGTCATTGCACCGTTTAACATGCCTTGCAATGGTCAAAATCTTTGCGAGACAAGTTGCATGAAGCATTGCACAGAGTAGAAGTCGGTTCTACTTTTGGCAACGATTGCACTAATTATTTTTAGCATTGCAGCGTGTAACATGGCTTCGTGCAACTTGTCTCGCAATGTTTATAGCTTGGAGAGTTCCTATTGGCTCTCCTCAGTACACGCTTTATTTTAATTACAATTTGGCGCCAAATAGCCCCTCTCCCTAGTCTCTGCGTATGCCTCTGTCCCCTATCGTTGCGAGTTGCATAAAAATCATTGCAGCGTGTAACACCTCTTGCAATGCATTATCAAAATCTTTTTTTAAACATTGCGAGACAAGTTGCATGAAAAATTGCACCGTGTACTAACTACAGGGCCTTTATTCTGTGGTTAAATTACGTGTCATATCAATAACTACAAAAGATTCATTTGGTATACATTGGCGAGACTGGTCGAAATCTCTCATTACGTCTAAAATAACATAAGAGAAATTGCGAGAAAGCCGAGCTCGAAAAATCAGCCGTGGCTAAACACTCTTGGACCACTGACCATCGCATAAAATTGGATGAAGCTTCCATTTTAGCTATGGATAGTCATAAGTTTTCTCGCAAATTGAGAGAATCAATTGAAGTTAAAAGCTGGGTTTCACTATGGCATTATGCTGTGAATCTGACGGGGGGTCAACCTCAAATGTATTGATCATAGATATCTTATATACACTAGATAGTGCATCTAATTACTTTGCAATTCAAAAACTGAAGCTGTGATTGCAGACTCAGGATATTCCCATGAAATGAGAAGACTCGTATGTTTTCTATTTCTTAAAAAGGGAACTTAAACATTAAGTTATTAAACCTATTCCAAATACATTTTCAAACCAGGCTATTCAAATGATGAAAGTTATTGTTGTTTTTTAATTAAGCGTTTATTAGCGAGTGGGAAACTCCAACATGGCCGCCATCTATTCAAATGGGGGTAACCGCTGGAATATTCTTGGCTTCAATTTTACTAAAAGAGGTGCGCTATCTAGTGTATATAGGATATCTATGGTATTGATGCATATGCTGTGCAGGAGTGAGAAAATGATACGAAATTTCACGTATTTACCATGTGTCACGAAGCACTACTGGACTAAGATAACACCAAAACTCTTTAATTATTTCTTTAATTACAATACTCAACAACGATTAATCTCCACAAAATACATCTCACGATTTCACCCACTGGACGAAAAATTGGATTTATTCATATTTACGCCAAGTTAATAAATAGCAAATATTATATTCAGTCAAATTTGCTGCATGGTGAACAAGGGGAAGATTGTATTTAAATAATTTTGGCAAAAGAAGAGCAAATAAGGTCTTCCCCTTGTTTACCTTTCAGCAAATCTGAATGAATATAATATTTTCTATTCATTTACTTGGCGTAAATATGAGTAAATCCAATTTTTCGTCCAGTGACTTTAACTCTACAATATATCACTTCCATGCGGTCCTCTCTTCCAAAAACACATGCACTAAAAGGCACTAAAACACATACACTAAAAGGCGCTTCTCTACACTCCCCCCACCTAAAATCAACTTGATTACTGACTATATCAGTTCACTGGTTAACTCAACACGAAAGTAGGTATAAAAATAGTTCAAATCGACAAAGTTCATGCAACACTTCCATTACTATAATAGTGTTTAACTTATCTGTTCACAGTGTTCAATAATCCAACACAGGTACTCCATAACGATCGGATTGTCTTCGATTCTGTCTTAAGTTATAACGTAAATTTAATGGTTCTGCTTGATCATCGATTCCACTTGGTGCTAAACGTACTCCAGCACGCTCATTAATAAGTTCAATCGTAGACTCATCCGAATCAGAACTTAGCATGTCTTCCGATTCCTCACTCAATGGATTAGCAACTGTTTTAACGACAAACCGTCTTAGTTGTAGCGATTATTCAATATCGTTGCCAGAGATTTGCCAGGCGGAAAACGAATTTGTATAATAAATATGAGAGCCCAACATATAACTTTTAACAAAGCCATTAAAACAGTTTTAAAAGATTGTAAAGAATTTTAATTGTAACGTTTCGTCTTAAGTTAAAGACGAAACGTTACAATTAAAATTCTTTACAATCTTTTAAAACTGTTTTAATGGCTTTGTTAAAAGTTATATGTTGGGCTCTCATATTTATTATACGAAACCGTCTTAGATTATTCGAATTCGCATGTACAACTTTACGTTTTCTGCTTTCCAATGACTCTATCTCGCAATCGTTCTCTCGAATGTTAACAATGATATAAGGACCCGTATACTTTTCATCTAAACCTCGCGCTCGAAAATTCTTTAATAGAACAGTGTCCCCCATGTAAAACCGCTTGTTTTGTTGTACTCGATACCGTAAATCATAACTACGTTTCTGCTTCTCTTGCGCTTTCTCGATCCTTTTAGTAACCAATTTCCGGAGAATATCTTGTCTCTTCTTTAACTCTTCAACGTATTTGGATATTGATATCCTAAG